ACAAAATCACAGTGGTCTCTTGCTTGAATGTGAAACTGCACACTTGGCTGGGCTTGCTCAGAGATTTGGTATTGAAAGGCAAAAGAGCAAGGATCGCGGTGCTTCGTTTCATGCAAAATTCAGCTGACATAATGAACACTTTGTATGAAGAAAGGAGCAGCTGATGGCTATATCCACCATGGCACTTCCCACAAGCAGCAGGCCAGGTGTTCAGTGGTATCTTCAGAAGGACTTCAACAGAAGTCCTGCCCCAAGACAGACCAGTCCCACGCATGGGGCAGGCTGGGCTGGGCTGGGCTGGAGGGGATAGCTATCCATGCAAGGTTCCGCAGGTGAGAGGCATCTGCAGACTCGCACACGCCAAGCTGGCCAGGAGTCACAGCAACCAAGGCCAATCAGCCCGGTGTGAGAGCATCCAGCAAGTCAAGGGAAGGTATTCCCCTCAAGTGACACCATACCTGGACACGCCATAAAGTTTGTTGTGCCCTCCAGTAGAAGGGAGGTAACAACAAACTGGAGGAAGTCCTGTGCAGGGTCACTAATGTGGTCCACTAAAGGGGGTATGCATTCCTGGGGACCACCCCGACTCACTCGGACATGGCCCTGAACAGCTCGCTGCAGCTGTGGTGTCAGGCCTGCTGTGAGCAGTGTTAGGCTGGACATCCCCACCATGGTGACTCCATCTGGAATTGGTGAGAGTGGGCGATTCTGCGTACCTTACCCACACCACAGCCACGTCCATGCCACTGCAATTAACGTACTTCAAAGAAGAACGCTGGCGTGACTGACCTTGCCGTCACGACTAATGCAGCTCATCAGAACTTGCAACCAGAAGGGCTTCATCATACACTCACTCCAGCAGCACATGCTCTCTCCCCGGGAACCAATATTTCCTGCTGGGCCAAGGTGAGACTCCAGGAACCAGGGGTATAAACCAAACCTCCGTGCATGGTGCCGTGATGCAGGCACTCCCGAGTCACGCAGTGCCAGTCAGGGGCAGGGGTCCACCAGCACTGGCAGAGTGTTTTCCAGCAGGATGCACATTCGAGAGCACATTCCATTGTGCTGAGAAGTCCTTGCAGCAACTGCCACTAAACCTGTAAAGCCTACGTACCACCAGTCTGCGTCAAGATCCGTTCCCACCACTGCTAGTGGCATACTCGCGTCTCAAACAGCATCAAGGTTGCCTGTGTTCCCAGTCTATTAACATGCAGAGGACAATGAGCAGGGGAGAGTGCCATTCCTAAGCCAGTCCCAGTGGAGAAGAGGGCTGGTGTCACCTCAGCTCTTACCAATCTGTGGGTGACCATTTAAGCTGTGCAAGTCTACAGATGCCGAGTCCAAATTCCTTGTCATGACTGGTCCATTTTGGCAACATTTCCATGTGGCCTCCCAAAATGTGCAGGGACACAATTCATGTCCCCTTTCGGCATCCTCTGAGAGGCTCAAGAAGTAAGCCATGAAGCCTACCACCATGGAAGGTTCACCAAGGATCCCGAGTCCGCTTTTCACAGACAGGTGCCTTCGACCGGAGGATGCATGGTCTGCAGTCACAATCTCTCACCTGAAAGTGCACCAGGCTACTCATCGGTATCTGCCCCATCCTGTTACGTATTTTTTCCTTGATGTCTCTCCACTCTATTCCTCTGCGTGTCATGGAGAAGACTGATTCCAGGGGCTGCTTTCTGCCGTCTCCCCTGAAACAGTGACCTCATGTACAGAGTACTCTCCTAACTGAAGTGCCCAGCTGGTCTCCCCTACCCACCATGACCTCTGCACCCATACCAGCCTTACCTAATCACCAGCACACCAGTGGATCACAAGTCAGATTCCGTCTCAAATCCCATCAGAAAAAAAACCTTGGAATACCCCCAAGAAAATTACAAATTTTAACACAAATATGCTGGGGAACAGAGAAATGTCAGGGGCAGAAGGAAACACTGACTGACCCATGAAAGCTGGGGAGAGGAAAGGAGGAGAAATAAGGTATCTGGCACTAGGGGTGGTGGTTGTGGAGCTGCCTTATGAAAGAAGCCAGAAGACAGGCCTGCCCAGGAGGGTAGGATTGGCTGAGCACGATGGGGTTTGAAGAACCTTTCCCTCTCCAGTCCAATGCCCGCTCTGAGGAGGTGTTGAGGGGGCCCAGCTGCCTCCACCTCGCCCCTGCACCTAGATCTTTCCAAGGAGGATCCACTCCTCTCCATGGACCTCAGGAACTCCTCTAAGTGTTGGGTCAAAGACCCCTTGACCTCTGCTGTCATCTTCCCTTGGCAAAGCTGCCTCCATGTAAGTTATGGCACGGTAGGCCTCCCGTTTGTTACACCACTGGTCTGTGACTAAGACCCGCTAACGGTTTAGCATGGAGAATGCTGTTGGCATGCTACTGCCTTTAACGGGCTTCTGCAGCACACACACACACTCTTTATGGAAGAACCACCCCGTACAACGCGCTCCAGAGAAAACCAGAGAGCGGTGGTTGCAAGAACTGCTCTTCAAGGTAATTTCTTCTTGCTTCACCTCGAGCATGTCCCAGCTGAGGAACTGGTGGCTCCCATCTTGCCCCAGGACTCCAGATGTGGTGCAGACCCCCTGTCTGTGTGTGTCACCCAGCTGGCTGGCTCCGAAAGCCGCGGGGTGCAAAGGACCCTGCTTAGGCTCGCTCTGCCTTCGTCCGGGCCAAGCTGCCCCCCTGGGACCCAGGGCTCCTGGGTGTGCAGGGCTCCATGCCAAATCTCCAGAGCAGCCTGGCAGGGTAGCTGCCCTGGGACGCTGGCTTTCATCTCGGCTTTTTGTGCCGTTGAAATGTTTTGCATTGACCCAGGCACTGGCAGGACTCTCCCAGCTCCGCGCGTCTTCTGCAGGCCATCATCTCCGTCCTCCTCCATCCTTCCCCTCTTCCACAGCTTCTCTCCAGCTTCTGCAGCCCCCAGGACCGGGAGATTTCATGGCATGGCACTGGTGCTTGGCAAAGCCTGCAATGAGGAGTGGAAGGAACGGGATTAAGCAGGGACATGGGGCAGGCTGGAGGACTGCCCCGGAGGAAAGGATGCCAGCACGAGAAGACTTCGCACATCCCGCCCTGCTGGAAATATTCCCTGGCTTGTGCTAATTTCCCGCTCAAGCCATGAATTTAACAGCGGAGGCACATGGTGCCAGCATCCGGGAACCATCTCGGGGGCTCTTTACTGCCAAGTCGGAACAGCAACGTTAGTGATTTCAGCAGTGCTTGTCCCAGTTCTTCCTGGCAGACAGCAAGAGCCCGGACAGGGAACAGAGCTGCTGCTAAACACACGCCACATGGCAGAGGGGACAGATCTTGTCCAGAACACCCCTTGTCCTTTTTCAGGTAAGGGATCTGCACAGCTGGATTTTGAGATGTCCATCACCGCCAGGCTCCCTTTCTACAGCTATGATAAATAATCAGATCTATTACGCATTCTTGCTGTGCTTCAAAAGAATATAAAAGTCCTATAAACAAGCAAATAAATACAAAGCTGTAACATCCCATCTAAAACACTACTCTTTGTCCAGGTTACTTTGGCAATCCATTTCCCCTTGGGGAAAAAAAAATAAACAAGACCTCCTCCAGCCTGTGAAGCAAATTCCCCCAGCAAAGCTCAGCACGCAGAAACCTCTGCGCTGTGGGAACGCATCTGAGATGGAGATGAATGGCCCAGCTTGGGGGCTGCAGGCACCGAGCTGCCTAAGCCCGTACCCTGCCTCTGCTCCGCAGGACACATGGACAGCTGCAGGGGAAGGGACCAGCGGGTTTAAATTTGCTGGGGCAAATGGTTTATTACATGGAGCGCTTCAACAGGTACAACCTTCACAACATTAAGTGTTGTCAAAGCTGAGCCAGCTAATTGGCTCTGAAGTACCTCGTTTAAGAGTTAACATTGCTTTATGGACCCGTCTTCACAAGCTAGAAAGTTTCAGAAGGTGTTAGGGGTCATTGGGGATGGATGCTGAACCACAGTGTGGTAATCAAAGATAAGTTATGATTTTACCGGCTTTAAGTATACATCTACACATGGTGCTTGGCCAGAGGATGCTGGGGAAAGCGGATGAAGGAAGGCAACAAGCCCAGCTGAGCAACCTCCCTCCCAGAAGAGGAGAGAAGAGGGAGGGCAGGCAGCTCCCAGGGTGTGGGCACCAGCCAGAAGTGACAGAGCTGTGACTTACCAGATCAAAGGGCTGTAACCAGCTAGGGTGGCTCGTTCACAGCAGCGAGGGAAGGAACAGCTTCAGCAAGAAGCCCCTTTTCAGTGCCCTGGGGGAGATGGAATAACGCACAGGCTAAGGACACCCGGTTATACTGCACAGCGCCCGCAGGCGTTTCGGGGACACAGGTGAGAAGTGAACCCCAAAAGCACTGAGGAGATTCTCCAGACTCAGTCCTGCCTTGTTCTTGGGTAACCCAGAGCTGTAGGGTGGAAACAGAGGGGCTGCGATGCTAACCCCCCCAACACGTGAGTGCATTGGACTCATGGTCAGGCTCAGGCTTGAGGCCACAGCAGGCCCCTGGGGGCCACGTCTGGGCGAGTCAGAACATGCCCGGGGATGGGGATGCCCCACTTCTCGGGGCCCGTCCCAGGGACGCCCCACTTTCATGGGGAAGGGCTGTTTCCTTGGGGCTGGCTGGGGCTTCCCGTGCTGCAGCTGTACCGGTGCCTCTGGTCTCTTTTTGACCATCCCAGAAAGCACAAATGACTAATACCCATTGTCCCAAACAGTCCAGTTTATACCTCAGAATTTAAAAGTGTATTAATCCAATTACTGATGCATGTTTGCTAACCATTTTGCTTAATTATTGCTTAAGTTTTTAAAAAATAACGTCTGTGGTTCACTGCATTCTAAACTGCTGCAAATTTACAAAACTGAGGAAGTTTTTATAGCTTGAGAAGACAGGCAATAAAGTGATGTCAAGTTTGAAATCCAGCAACAAAAAAGCTGAACTGTATGTGAAAACAATGCTATGAGTTGTAAGACTGCGGTTTTTCGCCTGCTCCATCCATTATGCATTTTAGCAAGGCCAACAAGTTGATCTAAGGACATGAAGAGAGCCTTCATTTTGAATTTCCATACTTTTATTGGTTTAAATGAAAACCAGACTGTTGTTTTAATGTTGTGTATGAAACCACAAAATAACTATTAATTTTTCCCTTTCCAACAAAAACAGTTACGATGATTTAAACAACATTCTGGAAAAAAAAACCCCAACAAAACAGAACAGCTTTCAGACCACAGAATTGTCCAGTGTACAAGAATCAGCCATACCGATATTTTTAAAGCAATGCATAAAGACATGAAAATCTTGTATTTTCCACTGAAAAACTCGGCTACAGCTGCACCGCGAATGCCACTGCAGTAAATGTCCTCTGGAGATTTCATCACATCAAAGCAAGGAGCACGTATACTTTATTTGCTGTTTCTCCAGACACTGACAGCAGAGTGGATTACTTATCTGTAACACTCAATAAATATAGTAAGGGCCTTTTATCTGCTGTTCCAGTACTTTAGTGTCACCTCGCTGCCTCACTGATGTTGTGGGAAGGAGAGGACACAGAGATCCCATTAGGGCCAGCAAGAGAGAGGAGAGCCAAGGTTTCAGCTGGCAGGCTGGGAGCACGGGCACCACGCCATTCAGGAGTCCAGGACTGAGCCCAGCCTAC